CCAGAGCCAATGCCATCCTAGCCCGCGCACAGGCATTGCTCTGGGTACGAGATTCCATGTCATCCAATTTCTCAATTTGACCCATTGCGTTGCCGGTGTCACAGGAAATTTGGCCCCCCGAAAATTTCCCCCCCCCTGCCAAATTTCCTAGGAAATTTGCCCCCCCCCCTGGAAATATTTCCTAGGAAATATGGCCCCCTCTTCGGAAATTTGGCCGCCTCTAAAAAAATATAGTCTACTTTATCTTTTAGCTCGGAAATCGTGAAGCTTCTACTACAACCAAATTTCTAGAAATTTTTCTCAACATTTATAGTTAGTTTGCGTAATTTTTTTGTGTCAAAACAAAATTCTGCACTGAATTGCAATACTGACGAGAATTAGGCTTACAACACTGACGGATGTTATGTAGCTGCATGTAACCTTTGTTTAGGAAAGGGTTTTTTTACGAAATAACCACTCATTTGATTTTGTTTTTCGAACAAACGTACGTTTCCATCTAAAAGTCTACTTTTACCCCGATGTTAATTACTCCCTGTTACTTATTAGACGCGTGCATATTAACATATTCCATTGTCATCGTTTGCTAAAGTGCAGTTGTTATTCTGACTAATTTTATACTATGTGACTGAATTTTATAGATCCAAATAACTTGTAATATCTTAGAAATTCCTATCTCTAAAAATCGTTTCGTGTCCTTAATTAGCTTAAAGCTAAGCCATTATGCTTTAACGTTGTCCTCAACAGATACCCATGTGTGATGTGTCTGGCATGACTGCACTAGCACATTGTTATTATTACACTTTCCTTCAAACTTTTAGTTCTTGGCCGCAATGAAGAATTTCGACACGGATAAATTGTACAAACCAACTATAAATACTGACAAACACTTTTAGGATCTTGGTTTTAGAAGAAGCTTCACGATTTCCGAGCTTATAGCGATAAAGTAAACTATGTTTTCGAGGGGGGCAAATTTCCGAAGGGGTGGGGGGCATAATTCCTAAGAAATATGGCCCCCAAGGGGGGGGGCAAAGTTTTGGGGGGGGGCAAATTTCCTGGGACACCAGTGTGAAAATAAATTGCACGTGTAACCTAGGCTTAAAGAACAGGATTTAAGACAGCCTTACATGTGGGGATTTATATAAAGATAGCGTTACATGTGGGGAATTACATAAGACAGGCTTACATCGATTTTATTGAAATGGTTTTTTTGTCCTTTTTGTTTTTCAGCGGTCTGTAGTATATACTGTATTGTTGGTTTCCAATCGCTCAAGAACCAATCAAAATGCTGCGTTTTGTTGATGGACTGCACAGCCATAAAGTGAGTTATCAACACCAGTGAATTTGAAATTGACTTTGAAGTACAGGGCAAGATATTTGTTTCTTTTATCTGCCTAATAGTTAGCCTTTTCATATCGTACCAAATTTAATTAAAGGAATCACGCACGATAGATTTTTATTGAACTTTTACAATAGCTGCAGAGCATCATGCTCTATTGATATATATATTAAATAAAATTGATAGGTCACCGACTATGCTGACAGTACCAAAGTTACATTTTATAACAAATTTACATCCGAGATAGAAAAAATGTTTACAATAATAACCCACCTTTTCAAAAAAATCCGAAAGTTCCCTGCAATGAACCACACTTTGTTGTGAATTCCCTGTGTGCGCGTATATTCCCTTGTTTGGGGGAAGAAACGTTAGGTAGATAGCAATTATTCTTAGGTAAAGCAATAGGCAATTCCAGCTTTTAATTTATGCGCACAGGGGGTGATGGGAAGTAAGGTATCATATTGCTGATTATGCTAAAAAAATTTAATAGAATCTGCCGAAACAACAGAAATATTTCAATATTTACAAGTATAAGCTATCACTCCGTGTCTACACGGCCACCATTTTTATTTTTTCAGTATGCAATAAGCAACATGATACCATACTTCTCATCACTCCCTGCACGCATAAACTAAAAGCTGGAATTGCCTATTGAATTATGTTGAAGTATATACAACAGTCCCTATACCTTGTATCACAGTATCCCTCAGTTTTAGCAGTATACATACTACATAAATCCTCCTTACTTGACCGCTGTCAAAGTGTTTCAAAACACGAGTCAAGAACAGTCCCAGATTACATATCTGTTCGCTTGAAGCTTGCAAATTGCGACATGGGACCTAGCCTCCTGCGCAGACGTTGTTAGTGGCCGAGGCCTCACCTAACGTCTGCTCACATTCGCTATACATTTGACTTCCCGACAATTAACCAATCACAATCATCTACACGATAATTGGAAGATCGGTCTTCAATGACCTTCACACGCATGGGTTATTATCACTCTGTGCTATTATATATCAACAAGTCTGTAGTATTTTTAAATTTGGAAGTTTTAACACTGCGCATCAGAAAAAGACTTTTCAGTCTATTATAAACGAAAAGAAGGATGTTTTCGTAAATCTCACAACTGACGCAGGAAATCACTTATTTATCACGCCGTTACCGAAGCTATTCGATGTAATATTCGGATTTAAATATTTAAACAAATTGTAAACATTGTAAACATTTAGTAATCGTGATTTCGTCATTGGTAAATTCAATACGATCGTGATCAAGTAAAAAAATTACACGATCTAGGAGTCGGTGCTGTGTCATTATTAAGTTTAATCGAGAGCGATAAAGAAGCGAAGACATTGGAAGATGGGAAATATTCTGACTGTATTATATATGGCACAGCAGAGTCATTGCTGAAGACAAAGACAAAGTGTATGGCAGAACGGTTTGTGCTTTGGCTATTGATGCATGAAGCTCATTTCAGTATGTATTATAATAAATCCTAAACATGTGTTTGCATTTGCAATTCTTAAAGCCACAGCAATCGATCGGCTTTGACCATTTTAATAGTCGTTATTTTATATTGTCTTGACTGATTTATACGTTGCCTCGTATTATCTATTGCACGTAGCACCAGCAAGTTTATGAGCCATTCTAGTTAATATACATGCCCCAACCCTCTGATGTAAACCCTTCATAACTGCCCTCATTTAATAAACTTGCATGCTAGTACTACATGCAAATAGATAATACGAGGCAATGTATAAAAAGACAAATTCAATTTAAATAAACAATATAAAATATTAATGAATAATGACTATTAAAATGGCCAAGCCCGATCGATTCCTGTGTCTTTGGGAATTACAAAAGCGAACACATTTTTAGGATTTATTATAATACATGCCATTCTTTAATCGCACGAGCTTCATGCATCAACAGCCAAAGCACAAACCATTTTGCTATACGTACAATTTGTTGAAGCATTCGTTTCCATCGTTCGGTCTTCAACAATGACTCTGCATATAATACAGTCAGAATATTTCCATTCTTCCAATGCCTTCGCTTCTTTATATCGCTCTCGATTCAACTTAATAATGACACAGCACTGACTCCTAGATCGTGTAGTTTTTTGACTTGATCTCGTATTGAATTTGTCAACCGAAACCACGATTACTAAATGTTTACAATGTTTACAATTTGTTTAAATATTTAAATCCGAATATTACATCGAATAGCTTCGGTAACGGCGTGATAAATAAGGGATTTCCTGCGTCAGTTGTAAGATTTACGACAACATCCTTTTCGTTTATAATAGACTGAAAAGCCTTTTTCTAATGCGCAGTGTTAAAACTTTCAAATTTAAAAATACTACAGACTTGTTGATATAGCCCATGCGTGTGAAGGTCATTGAAGGCCGATCTTCCAATTATCGTGTAGATGATTGTGATTGGTTAATTGCCGGGAAGTCAAATGTATAGCGAATGTGAGCAGACGTTAGGTGAGGCCTCGGCCACTAACAACGTCTGCGCAGGAGGCTACATGGGACCGGGCACAGAAGAAATTGTTTTGAGTTATGTTTCATATTGTCAAAATTGAGTGTCCACTAATTTCCTCAAACCCAATTGCTGGAAATTTTTTTATATCAAGCCGACAAGATTGTCGACTGACGAATAAGATTCGGCCACAGAACAGGAAATTTTAAGTTTTTGATGGCATCATTTGATGAATTTACCTCCTGTGTACGACTCTTGTTAAATCTGGTCGGTAAATATTGCAGAATGTATTCGGAATAATTGAAATTTTCTACTTTACTTAAGCATGGATAAGACCTGACCAGGGATTGCAGTTAGCTTCAGGCACTTGCAGGTAGCACCGCTACCTAGCATCCCAACATCTGACAGGCATGTTTTGGCTTCCAATTTATTTACTCTGTATCGCTTCAAGTGGCAATGTGCTCCGATGCGCCCTATTTTATTGTTTTACTCTGTTTAACGCCAGATGAGTGTACCCTTCAAGAGGAGTGCCAAGTCACAATTACTGCAGATACTATAATCAATTTGTTCTTTACCATATCGTCAACGCAAGTTTGTTCTGTCCGGACAGTATGATGATATAGGCTCCTTTCCAGACCTCTTGCTCACTCAAAAACTACATATATACTTACTGTATGTCGAAATAGAGTTGGTCAGAACTTGCACCATGACTGAAACCCGCCTTTGTTTTTTAAACACGTTACTCCGGGCTCATGCGCAATATACCTACTAGTATTCGTGTTTTAAATTAATTAATGGCTTAAAAAACGACACATCTGATGAGTTCATTGGCGAAGGCAGGGGCGGGGGTAATATTGTAGTTTTGTCGGGCAATTTTAACAACACGCCCGTCGGACAAAAACATGTAACTCAGCAAAAAATTACTGAAAATTATGAAAAAATAACTGAAAAATTGTACAAATTTCAGTAAGTTAGTGAAAAAGGGTATGTCCGAATCCCCCCCCCCCCGCCACGTCAAAAAGCCATAACAAAAATATAGTTTAAAATATATATCAGAAAAGCTAATGTTTCGTCTTTAACTTAAGACATCTTCAGAGCAATGACATACAAAGCGGAAAACATAGAAACGTTAGCTTTTCTAATAAATATTTTAATCTATATTTTTGTTATGGCGCTTTTACGTATTTTCTGCTGGACAAAACAAGCTCATACCTATCTTACGGCCTTGGCGGAGTGAATTAAAAAAAAGTTGTCTAAGAGGAGAAAATCGAAGCTAAAGTTTACGTAAATTGCAACGTTTCCTGGTATAACTCTATATCTTCAGGTTCAAAAATTGATAGGATATAAAACATTTTTTAACGATATAAAACTTTTAGCAATATAAAATATTTTTAAGAACACAAAGATTTTATATCCTACAATTTTATTCTTTACTTAACATGAAGATGGAATTATATTCCGAAACATTGTAATTAATACCTTGATTATTTGCAGTAAGATATAAATAATGCATGGGCAAAACTTCTCTCTTAAGCAGATCTAGGCTTTTACCGCGCACCGATTAAAGGATGTTCCTATTGATATATATCAACGAACTGTTACGGATACGTTGATCACTAATAGAATCCACATGAGTGAAGAAATTAGTGGGGGAAGGGGCGGGCCCTGATCTTTAAAAGCTTCTGCGAAGGAGAGAGAGACGGCAATATCGTATACAGATTCTTCGAGAAAGCAGAACGACAACGTAGTAACGGCGACGGCTATTTCGACTACGTTTACACTCGTACCGGATATAGCTTGCCATGAGAGCCGAATACTTCTCGTTCCCCGCAGCGGTACGAGTGTAATTTATTTTAATCTCTTTGTTTTTTAAATCTTGGAATCATATTGTGGAAGCATCTAAAGCTTTCTAAACAATCTTTCTTACAATCTTACTGATAAAACAATCTATTCATGCTGCTATTATACTTATATAGTAAAATCAAAGGCGTAATTATACATTGCACAGCTGCCGCTCCACACTCGTGCAATGATTCACACCGTTAAATCCGAGGCAGTTAGATTCATAAATGGAATGAGATAAAATGCATGCACGCAACTGAACATCTTCCGGTGTGCTGCAGAATATTAAATGATGTGAAGACGGGAAACATTTTGTACACCGGACGTCGATTGGCAGATCTATAAATGTAATTCAATTTTGAAATTATAAAAGTGCACAAACTCCAAACACGCCATTTTAGCATTTTTGTTTAGTTCAAATTTGTAATCTCTAATTTTTTTTGTAATGAACTGTACGCCGTGAACAACGACGTTCCCAGAATCTTTCGTCTTGGTGTATGACAGACGCACATAACTATTTAAGTCCGGACGAAATGAGGATAACGCTTGTGTCATGCCTGTAGAAAGTGGGAAGTTATGGAGCGACGCTACCTCCAAGCTCTAAAGGGCTAACTCCAAACCAAAATATACACTTGAGTAACTTGTGTAATTCAAGAGTTGAAATATGAATTCTGGAGTTACTGGCTAACTCCAAAAATGATTTGGAGCTATATAAGTATACAACTGCAAAAATAATTTAGGAGCTAGGCATCTAAGCCTGGAGTTACCGGCTAACTCCAATAATCATTTGGAGCTACGTATAACTCTAAAAATCATGAAAAAACAAGGTATCTAAGCCTTGAGTTACTGCCTAACTCCAAAAATATGTGTATAGAGAGGCGAGTCAGCCTATATAGCCGCTAGGTACAGTACATACATGTAAGGTTGAAGTTACTTGCTGTGTTGCCAACTCCAAAAATCATTTGGAGCTTGTTATCTAAGCCAGGAGTTATTGACTAACTGGAATAACTGCAAGAACTCTCAGAATTCACTCCTATATTCCACTGTATTAAATAAGACTGAAATACCCAGAATATGCGCATAAACATGACATTGACACACTTGGCATTTTGTTCTCGTTCAGAGGCTAAATTTTGATCTGCAGTTGACTGTTGAGGCAAACCCATTCTCGTACACCGCGTCCTTGTCATGCTCTGTTGATCGTGTGTAAGGCGGGCTCTGGGTACGAGAATGTGGCATAGCCTAGCTCCATTTAAAGATTGGCTACCTCCACAAAAATAAAATCTACAGGTATGGCTTGTGTTGTAAAAGCTCACTCACACTCAATGAGTGGAGGTTCAATCTGAGCTTCCCTAGAGTGTCAAATGACGATGAGTATTCACATAGTACGGTAAGGCACTAACCTTCCAGATATCCAAAAACAGCATTGAGACTCGAAGAAAACCTAAAATTGAACTTCCATGCACTCATTGAGTGTGAGTGAGCTTTTAGAGTGTCCTTAATGCTTTCCCAACTATCATGTATTTTATTTAACCATCACAGTTGGAACGCTCATGAAACCTATTTTGTTAATGTAAAACTTGCATTGTTCCCTGTAACAATTCGTGATTGCCAACTCTCATCACCTTTCATCCTTGTTTGATCCGGGCTTTAAAATCAAGTCTGGAATACAGCGCTATATAGTTACATTAATAATAGACCTTATGCATAATGACGTCACAAGGCATGATGCCCGCGAGGAATGCTGGTCTTAGTAGTCATCGCCCGGGAAAATGAAATTAAACAATTTAAAATGGCCACTATCGAAATTTTCCCGGGCGACGACTACTAAAAACCTATTAAAAAACCTATTAAAAACCTATTAAAAAACCTATTAAAAACCTATTAAAAAACCTTGAAAACCTATTAAAAAAGATTGATAATGAAAACAAGGAAATCTATATACTGGGTGATCTTAACTGCGACCTTTTTAAGTCTATTCCTGACCATCCAACTAAGACACTTAAATCTTTACTCGAAATTTATCAATTATCCCAGATAATGGATAAAGGCACACGGATCACTAGGACATCCTTCACACTTATTGATCATTTTATTACCAATGAACCAGGAAAGATATCCAAATGTGGTGTAATACATACTGGAATTAGTGACCACAGTCTCATTTATGGCATAAGAAAGATTAACATTCGACACAAAGATAATGATAACATAATTGAAATTAGAAATATGAAAAAATTCAATGAACAGCAGTTTTTACAAGACCTAGGAACTCAAACATGGGAACATGTCTATTTTTTGCAGACAATCCTGACACTATGTGGGAAATTTGGAAACAACTTTTCTTACAAGTCCTAGATAAACATGCCCCAATTCAAAACAAAAAAAAACAAAATCCTTGGATTACTAGTCATATAAAAAAACTAATAATTGCAAGAGATAATTTGAAAAGAAAAGCAATTATCACTAAACTTGAAACAGATTGGGATAACTATAAAAAAGCCAGAAATGAAACAAACAATCTTCTACAACAAACCAAAAAGGAATATTATTCCAATAAAATAGCGACTGAAAAGCAAGATCCAAAAGCTGCTTGGAAGACAATTAATACCTTACTTGGTAAACAAAATCAAAGAACTAAATTAAACTTAAATGGCATAAAATTAACAAGCCCTGATGAAATTTCTGAGGGCTTCAATACCTTCTTTTCAAATATTGGACCGAATTTAGCCGAAAAAATTAGTACACCAGGATGTCATTCTAAAGATTTCCTTGACAAAACTAATTCTGAATTTACTGCATTCCAGTCAGTTACTGTTAGTCATGTTTGTCTTTTATTACGTGAACTGTCTGGTAGCAAAGCTACTGGCCTGGATAAAATATCCAGCAAGATAATCAAAATTGCTGCACCATTAATTTCCGATTCATTGACTTATATCTTTAATCAAGCAATAACTTTATGTACTTTTCCACATGAATGGAAAATTGCAAGGGTAATTCCCCTTTTTAAGAATGGCAAACGAAACTTGCCAGGAAATTATCGACCAATTTCTGTGTTGCCAGCCATTAGTAAAATTATGGAACGTATCCTATATACTCAACTTTATGAGTATTTGAGTGCAAATAACATACTTTCTGAACATCAATTTGGTTTCAGAAAATTTCATTCAACTAGTGCAACAGCTTTACTTGATTGCACAAATGATTGGTACATAAACATGGATAGAAAACTTTTTAATTTGGTTGTATTTGTAGACTTAAAAAAAGCCTTTGATACTGTTGACCATGAGATCTTATTGCAAAAACTAAAACTAGTTGGAATCACAGGAAGTGCATTTCTATTACTCAAATCATACTTAACTGGTCATACTCAAAGATGTGAAGTCAATGGATCTATTTCAGGGGAAAACGACGTCAAATGTGGTGTACCCCAAGGCAAAAATAATGTTTAAAACGCTAAATAACATGGGGCCAAATTGTCTCAAAGAATTATTTACTTTCAAAAAAGAAATATTAAACCGCAGTCTTCGTAACAGCTCAAGTACCATACGTTTGCCCAAGCCAAACACAAACAATATGAAAAAGAGTTTCATGTATGATGGAGCTTCCATATGGAACTTTTTTCCAAAAAATATAAGAGAAAGTAATTCGCTCTCAAGTTTTAAAAGAAAAATCGCTACCTATAGATAGATAGATAGATAGATAGATTTATTTAACCACGCTAACCTCGTCAACTACAGCTGATTTCCACGAGGGGCGTGTGAACAAGAAGTATACAGCAAATATGAAAAGTATTTAAAAGCTATTTACAAAGTAGAAAACATAGTATAAAATATATTAAGTATATGAGATAATAATGTATTTACAGATGCATATATTTGCTTTAATTATCAATGTGAGCAGCGATTTTCGTCCGAAATGAAGAAAGGGATTTGCTCTCTTTAATTTCCTTTGGAATAGAATTCCAAAGGAATGATCCATCGTACATAAAACTTTTTTTCAAATTATTAGTCCGCGGTTGCGGTAAACAAAGAGTACTTGAAACGTTTCGAAGATTATAGCTAGTCATCTCACTTTTATAAGTGAATAAGTTAGTGAGTGATTGAGGGCCCATGTAATTTAATAATTTGTACATTCCTGATGTTATTTTCCTGCAAATATTTTCAGTGTTACTTTTCCACGACAAATGCTGGTCGACTGTCACACCAAGAGTTTTGCACTCATGCACTTGTTTAATCTGTTTGTTTTCAATTACCACATTTGGCTGCAAATTTGAAACGATTTTAATCATTTGTTTTGAGCCAATTAACATAAATTCAGTTTTTGCAACATTGAGGCTAAGTTTATTGGCAATTAGCCATTTTTTTAGGTTTTCTAAATCAGAATTCACTGCAGCTTCAAGACGAGTTATCGAGTCGCCAGAAGCTGTCAGGTTTGTGTCATCAGCAAATAACCGAGGTTT